TGTAAGGTCCATGCTAACTTCTGCATGAGAGAAAGACCTTCGCCTCTGACCCAAATTCCTGGCAGTGGGGAGGCAGATCTTTCAAAAAGACACTGTGACCAATTTTGCTTCCAACCTTTGGAGTTAGACCCCCTGTGTCTGACTCCTAGTGCCATCATTTTAAGTCATGTAAGCCCTCTGTGTCTTAGTTTTATCATATTTAAATTGAGGGGTAATGATAAGGCCTGCCTCACAGAGTGTGGAGAGGAATATGTGAGCTGAATACATGTCATATGAATCACAATAGTACCTAGCAAGTCCTAAGTGCTCAGCAGTGCTCATTGTTCCCACTATTTTGTGTTCCTACTATTTTCAACATTCATAATCATATCCACAACCAGTAAAAAGATGTCAATGACACGAGAAAGTATTTCATGGTGTTATAATTTGAGTTTAAAAGCAAGTTACAGTGCAATCTGTCTCTGAGGACTGTAAACATATTTATAGAATGACAGGTTATTTCTGAATTGCTTTCGTCTTCTTTATGCTTAACCTACTTTCCAGTTTTTCTTACACRGGTATTCAAAAATATTAATCAACAATAAAAAGACTTTAAGAGTCCTGTTTATCAGTCTTCCCTACTCTAGACCCTGAGCTTCATGGAGGCAACATTGGTGGCATCTCAGAGTGTGACAAACCTCCTTTTGGGCAGTGTCCAGTTCTGCAGGCTGGCCTAAAGTCAGAGTCAGTACTGGACCAAACTTGTTTTCTGTTGTGACCCCTGTGTTCAGTCCTGCCTATCTCTTTTTCCGGGTGCCCATGTAAAGGGGATGGTGCCTTCCTTTATTCAACTAACCTGTGCTGTAAGTCCACTGGGGACCAGCTCTACCCAAGGTGCTTGATGTGCTGAGGATTCTGCCCTTCCTGGCCTATTGCCCTCCAGTCTTAGCTTTYGCCCTTCTGCAGAGCTCACACCTGCCTCTGCTCCACTTTACTACAGATAACATAATCCCTGCATGTCCATCCTAATGTGCCCTACTGCATCAGTGAAGTCCTAGCAGAAAACAGCATTGCACTCAAAAGGGCTTAAACAATAATAAAGGAATTAAAGAAATACTCACAGAGACATGGGTGGGATTCAGGGAACTAACCAGGCATCCTCCTGTTCCCAAGGACTAGGAAGAGCAGGAAGCTTTGACTACCCCCAGGCAGAACAACGCAGGCATTGCTAGTTCCTGGCATCAAAGAAAGGAGATAACATATACTCTGATCTCTCTCTCCTTCTTCTTCATCACTTCCCATAGTCATTTGACTGAAACCATAGCTAGAGGGTAAGGACCAAGGGAAAACAGCTTACCAGACAATGTATTACTCTCCAAAGTTTTATTTATGGTGGATCCAATTTAAAATGTGCAATCTAAGCGTACTATAGGGATACTGCTACAACGATGTTCATAGCAGCACAATTCACAAAAGCCAGTCTGTGGAACCAACCCAGATGCCCTTCAATAGATGAATGGATAAAAAAAATGTGGCATTTATATACAATGGAGTATTACTCTGCACTAAAATGACAAAATCATGGAATTTGCAGGGAAATGGATGGCACTAGAGCAGATTATGCTAAGTGAAGCTAGCCAATCCCTAAAAAACAAATGCCAAATGTCATCTTTGATGTAAGGAGAGCAACTAAGGACAGAATAGGGAGGAAGAGC